CATCAGGGTCCTATGATTAAGGCTTTAAATTCCTCCCAAAGATGATATTAGGGAGGATCAAACATATGCTCTTACCTCCACCTGTTCAGTTCCCTAACGCCAACTGAACTACTATGATTTGGTATACAATTAATTACTTGATCACCAACTGAGTAATATACAAAATAATAGCGAGACTGAGGGCTATATATGTGGGGAGTAATGATTCTTAGAACTAATAATGCATCTGGAGTTAAATAATAATAGTTTCAGTAGATAAACGCATAACTAAATAGTATCTAAATGGCAAAATTGGGTTAACCAGGGAGAACTTGGAACTTGGAAGTCCCTAGATTTGTTTCTTTATTGAAGTTGTTTTTTTATGTTTTTGTTTCTTATTTCGTTTCTGTAAGTAGAAAAATTAGACTTGTCTTCTTTCTTATTTCGTCATATCTTCGTTCTTGCTTTGGTTTTTAGGTAATTATTTTTTCTAGATAAATTAAAGTTAATTAGTAATTAATTTTTATACTCGTTATGATGGACTTAGCTAGAAAATATTCATTGAATATTCGAAAATGTCAAAATGTGAAAGTTCAGTTCTTAGTTGTTGATAATATTCATTGAATTCCAAATTTTATTGGACAAGTTATTAATAATAATACATTGTTCTATAAAAAAAACAATCATTTGCTAAAATAAATAAATAAAATCAGAATACCAGGATTTTTTTGCAAAGATAATTTTTTTAGTACGAATAAATTTTTTGAAATAAGAAAAACTGCTTTATTCTAAAGTCAACACAAAAGATATTTTTGACTTTTTTTCTTCAAAAGTCATTAATTACGTAATTCTAAAGACTTACAATTGTTACTTTCACAATACCATTAGTAAGAATCAAACCTAATATTTTTGCAATTAATTTAGCCAACTCTCATTATTGTTGGTCATAATAAATATTTTTTTTTTTGAAAGTCATAATAAATAGTTGAACGGGCTCTCCCCGCCCTATAATATTCTGCTAATGCCCACTTTACATCTCTTGCTAAAATCTACATTAAGTTTTTGGCATTTGTATTATAAAGTTATAATTGATTTTTATTTTCAAAATGTTGACCATTTATTTTACTTTGTTTGTTAGGATAATATTTGTAATTAGGACTATATGTCTCCCAAAATTATTGAATGGTTATATAAATGTAATATGCCTCTCATGTAAACATATCTCTCAATCAGTATACATTTATGCACCATTGTAAGAAGGCATTTTTATTTTAAATATAACTAACAGAAGAGGGCTTAAATGATCCTGCAATGATAAAAAAAACTTCATGCACAATTTAGAAAGTTCATTATCCAATAAAAAAAGCAAATAAATCAAGGATTTTCATACAAAAATAATTAAAAACTACTATTAATTTTATATAATTAATTGGAAAACAAAGAAAAAATAAACAAATACTACCAGACAACAAAGAAAGTGCTAACCAAAATTCTATGCACAATCACTTAACATCACACAAGATTTTGGTGTTCGGGTTAATTCACATTCATATTCATATTGTATTCGTGTTAACAAAATAAAAAATAAAAAATTATGTCGTATTACACATCAACATGCAAACACAACATTGACCCGTATTTTTATGATTAATTATGTTATTGACCATTGCATTATTTGTGTGTGATATTGTTTACATGTTATCATATATTATGTTGTGTCCTCTCAATTTGTAAAATAAGTGAATTGTGTAAGCATCGAGAATATATATTTAAGATTTGTCAATTATTCTTGTTGTATTATGTTAACTTGCAAAATGATCTAGTCATATTTATGTTGAAGATTTTAATATGAATATTTATTTGTGTCAATGTTTGGATTGAATAAATTTATATTTGTGTCAGATAGAAACTTGACACAAATACCATCCACTAACATGATTCACCGTACATTAACTTCAACAAGAAAAAGACCTATTAATTAATTATGTTCTCTCGCACATGAATTTAATTAATTAGAAACTTTTGAATTGATATACTTGGATTGGTTAATTGTAAGCATAATGTTTCATTTTTCATTGACTTCTCGAATTGAACATTTGTCTGGCTAAAAGATGCATGAAACCCAAAGGCAGGGGATGGGGTGGGGTTGGTGAACACTGCATTGAAGAATTTTATAAAGACTCTTTGAGTAATGAGTAACTAATGATTTACAAATTATTAAAATTAAAGAAGAAAAAGAAAATCTAGTATCACATGAATGTGTAATTATATACCATTGACTTTCCTTCATTTTCTTTTGTTTTCTCTCACTCCAAATTTTATCATGGTGTTTATAGCATAGCGTCATTGGGATCTAAGTCCTTGGCTTCCGAAAAGCCAATTAACTTTACTTCCAATGTTTAATTTCGATTCATGTGTGTGGTTCAACCACATTCTCCTATTTTCATTGACTTACCCTTCCCGAGTTTGAGTAAGAGATATATATTAGAGTAAGTTACTATTGTAGCTATTAAGCTCAAGTGTAATGTAGAGCAATGAAGTTAGTACAGTTTCAGTTAGGTTTGTTATTAACAACTATCAATGGTCAGTTATTAAGATTTACAACTAAGCATTCCGTTATAAATTTCTACTGAAGCTACAGGGAACAGTGACCAAAGTGTCACTTTTGGTAAAAAAACACACTAAAATAATACACCAACAGCAAAATTTTGTCAAAATGTCACGTGGGATATTTCGCTACACTGTGTAGCGAAATATGTGTGCAAATAATTCGCTACACGGTGTAGCGAAATATGTCACGTTAGAACAAAAAATGTCACGTGTCAGACAGGGAGAATTTCGCTACATCGTGACAGGGAGAATTTCGCTACACAATGTAGCGAAATTCTCCCTGTCTGACATGTGGCATTTTTGGTTCTGTGCATTCTGACGCGGCATATTTCGCTACACCGTGTAACAAATTATTTGCACACATATTTCGCTACACAATGTAGCGAAATATGACACGTGGCATTTTGACAAAATTTACTGTCAACGTGACATTTTAGTATTTTTTTTTTTTGCAACAGTCGCACTTTTGACCACTGTTCCAAGCTAAAGAGATGGCTTAAGCTATATCTATTTGTACATGTACTTTTTTCGAAGCCAACTTCAACAAACCCATCGAGAATTTATAATCTGTTCAGTTCACTGTATGTAATTTCTAGATGCACACGAGAATGTAAAAATCTTATCCTAATTTATAAAAATTAGAAATATTAATTATATCAATTTTTATTTTTTTTGTTAAAGACTGATGTATTTGATACTCGAATATTAATATAAGCGATATTTGTAATTATCATAAATAAGAATAAAGTTTTTATATTATTATGTGTGTGATGTTTCTCATGTTATAGGAGATACATTTATCTTCTATATATATATATATAAACGGGTCAGGATCATTTTACACCGGTGTAAGTTACACTCTCAATCTTGTCCATTAATCTCACTTATATCTAAGGGCTCTAATTTTTTAGTAATATTAGCCATTGAATACAAGTGGATCAATGGTCAAGATTGAGTGTAAGACTTCTAACTCTTACACCGGTGTAAGAATATCCTGGCCCTATATAAACATATGAGATTTATACTTCTTTTTTTCTATCATTTATATTTTGAGGAAGGATATTCACACTACCAAAATTTTCTACTACTAACTATCTAATCACCATTAGATTAACATTTTCTCTCTCTTCAAATTTTTTTTTTAACATTCTCTCTTTTTGATTCAATGGTTCAATGGTGATGTGATGGGTAGTAAGTTGATAGTAAGAATATTTAGTAGTTAGAATATCCTGACTCTTATATTTTTATTTTAATGTACGTAATAGATAAATTTGTTTTTTATAATATTATTATTATAAGTAGATGGTGATGCAGGTAAGGAAATGGAGCAATGGTATTGGTATCTATGATGGAGTGAGGCAGCAGTAACAAAAGGCGCGTCCGAGTTAGTCGGAAGTGAGGGCTAATGGGACCTACAACAAATTTTAGGAAAAAAAAATTAATGAGACCGGAAATTGTGTGTGGGGGTTGAAGAGAGAGAAACAGAGAGAAGAGAGAAAACAACCCAACAACATTGTAAGAGAGAGAGAGAGGGAAAGAGCCTTGTCTTGTCCCTCATGAAGGTGGTCGAAGAGAGCTTCCTCTGAGATCATCCTGAATAGGGCAGCATTACAAGAAAAACAATCAAGGCTTCAAATTAATTAAATTCAATACAATAATTCATTCTTTGAATTTTTTGCTGCCTTTTTTCTGATTCTGTTCTCTCAATTTGACCCCCACCCATCACCATCATCATTATCGTACATTGTTGGTTGTTCAGTTTCATCAAATAACTGCAAGAAAGGCCCTTCTTTTCCTGCACCCTTTTCTCCCATTTGCATGGTAATTCCATGTTGTCTTACCCTTTTTGCTTTTTCCCCTTTTTCTATTTTTTTTTTTTTTTTTAACATTGATGATGATACCCAGAAAAAGCTTGCTTGCTAGTTGGGTTATTCCTTGTTTCTTCATTGTTATGGTTTTTGGTTGGTTATCAACTTTATTTATCATCATTTTTCTTTTGATTATTATTATTAATTATTTTTTTTTTTGGTTGCAAAAGTTCATTCATTTTGTAAATGGCTTTTCTGGGTGTAATTTCATTCAGGTCCACCTCACATTGCTGGGAATCATTTGAGAGGAAGATATTGACCTGGGTTAAGCCCTTGTTGAGAAAAAGGTTTTAAGGAAGAGATTACATTATAGAAAAATGAGGGACCCTGATGTGATCTTCGGACCCAAGAGCTGCGATTGTTTTTGCTTTCTATTGTAGCATGCAAGTTTTGCCTAGTTAGTGATTTTGTGCTGCTTCATCCGAATAGGGTTGAAGGGTTTCTTGTATAGGAAAAGCCTGGCAATTTTGTACATATGATATGAATATCATATAGCTTCCTGCTTCTAAAGAGATATAAATATTATCTCTGCCAAAGAGACATTGCCTTCACACATCAATGGAAAGAAAATGGGACCCATTTGGATTATGGCTCCGGATTTATATTGGATTCATTTGTCTGTGGGGAACTCGACAGTGTTGGTCTCTGAATGATGAAGGTGATTTTCATGGATTGTCCTTTTAGTTTTTCTTCCCTCATTTACAGTGAATCAGGCCATGCATTTCTTGTATCTTGATGTATGATTTTTGTTGTTGCATTTGGAATGGAAAATGCAGGATTAGCTTTGTTGAAATTTCGGGTAAGAATAACTTCTGATCCTTATGGTGCTCTGGCAAATTGGAATCCAAATGATTGCAATCCTTGCAAGTGGTTGGGTGTTCATTGTGTTGATGGTAAAGTTCAGATGCTGTAAGTTCCTTCGGTTTCCTCTTTGTTTACCAGTGAGACACATTATATTTCTTAGTGAAGACTAATACATGTAGCTGTTCTTGATGTTTAAAGAAAGCTGTCGTTTTGATAGTGTGAATGCATTGCTGAATTATATGTGCTTATAGGAATTTGTGCCTTCCTGTTATTTCTTGTAGGGACCTAAATGGTCTATCTTTGGAAGGGACATTGGCTCCTGAGCTTGGGAAACTTGGTCACTTAAAATCTCTGTAAGGATTATTCACAATGTTCCCGTCCACCCCCAAATAAATGAATAGAAAAATCTTTGTTTACCTTTATGTCAAAAGTAAAACACATGTTATGCTGAAGCTTGTAACATTAACTGGTGCTGATTTTGAATAACAGTTTAAAATTGAAACAGGAAGGCTCTGATTCAATATTTTCTTATAATAATATAACTTAATCTAAGAGCTCAGTATTTGTCATATAGCCATCTTTCTTAAGTTCAGTTGATAAGTAATCATGATATGCATGAAAAATGAATTTGATTCTCCCTCAAAGGTTGTGCGTGCTTCTGGCAAGTTCCTATCCTCAGTTCATTGTGTAATGGCCATTCCGTTGCCTTCAATGAAACTAATTGATTCTTTTCCTGCTAAAATCTGATTATGATTACATTGACTGACATTAATGTCTAGAAAATTGATTTTATAATAGAAAATCGGAATGTGGTGCTACTATTATCGGTCCCTACTATAAAAATGATGAACTGGTCAGTTTGGAATGACCCACTGGGCTACGTTTGCCAAAACTGATACTTGTAACGCCCCGTCTGCAGCCGGTTAATTAACATTCATATGCAATTTACTCATCACTTCTGCCTCAACTCATCTATGATTCAAATTACCAATTCTCATTCAACATTGGTACTCAGTTTAACCTATATTAACTACAGGGCATCCCAGTTTTGACCTTAATTCATATCTCATATAGACACTTAAAAGGGCACTCGCCTTTATAAGCATCACTGAAGGACATTCCTAGGAATATCACACAAATTTTCAATTGTATACTAGCTCTTTCACTAATACTACAATCTATATATTCAATTGTACATTAGCTTTTACACTAATCATACAATCTATATACTCAATTGTACATTAGCTCTTACAATACTTGCATGTATTTTGTAGCATTTGTATCTGGAATGAAGCCATTAACTCTATTCAGTTCATTAGGTCGGCATAGATTGCTAGCAGTAAATGTTTTTCCTTTTGGTGTTTCTTTTGTTTTTTCTATTTTTCTTTTCCTCTCCCATCTTCCATGCAATGTAATTTTGTAAGCCTAGCAGTTTCCTGTCCTCCAAAAATGCTGGAAGTTAAGTAGCTACATTCTAATATTCACTCCAAAGAAATACAGTTAGTTTGCTTGCAGCTGGATTAGTATATCTTGTTAGTTTCCAAAAGCAATGTGTTAGGACCCATTTGCAAGGTATGGGATTTGGAGTCCCACATTAGTTGTATGGACAATTAATTTGGGGTTTATAAGCCCTTGGGCACTCCCGCCCTTTGAGCTAGCTTTTGGGGTGGTGCACCTCAAGGTTCTTATCAAATGTTATTAGAGCCTTTCATTATGTCTCCCGGTTGCAATTGAGCGGCGCGGGTGGTGACGCCGGCATTGTAGTGTTCGCCCGAGACTAGTAAAAGACTAGTACAAAGCCAGCTCGCGTGAGCGCCGGGGCTGCGGAGCGTGGTGGAATGTTAGGACTCATTTGCAACGTATAGGACTTGGAGTCCCACATTGATTGTATGGGCAACTAATTTGGGATTTATAAGTCCTTGGGCACTCCCACCTTTTGAGCTAGCTTTTGGGGTGGTGCACCTCAAGGTTCTTATCACAACGTAATATGAAAACTTCTTAAAACCATGAGGGTTTCTTGTTTTTGTTGGACAGATTAACATGAGGCCTGGTTTTGGTTATTTTAGTTCTCTTTGTACTATCACCCAATTTTACCCGATTTGTTAATCTATGTCTTTAATGAAAAACTAAATTAGATGAAGTTTGAAATCCAACAGTACAGTTGACTTAATATAGTAAATTTACATTCCATTACATTTCTAAGATATGCTCCCTTTGTTACTTTGAGGTAGTGTGTTATGCAAGAACAATTTTTCTGGCACCATTCCCAAAGAACTTGGAGATCTAGACATGCTGGAGTTATTGGATTTAAGGGAGAATAACTTGACTGGAAGTATTCCAGCAGAGATTGGCAGGTTGTTGTTGTTAAAACAATTGTAAGTTGACTTTACATTTAATTTTTCTATTTTGTTAGATTTCTGGGTATACCTTTAATGAAATATTATTTCTCCCTAGGTTGGTTTCTGGCAATAAAATTGAAGGAAGTGATTCGCAAGAGCTCGGATTGCCCTCTAAATCACCATTTGTTGACTATTGTTCATCTTCTCTTGCAACTTTATTTCTCCGCAAGAATAGAAAGTTTGCCCACTGGTAAGCATATCTTTATTTTTCTCCCTGACCTAGTTACCTTCGTAATTCCATTGCATGCTCTCCTTCCTCCTGCTTCACTTAAATGTAGCGGAAGGTTAATAAATAATAAGACATAAGAACCGTTGTTCTCAGAAATTTTATTCTTTTGCAAACAATGATGTTGTTTGGATGATTTCTGGAAAATTATTTCCACAAGGTCAGGCATCATGTTAAATAGATACCACCTTGTTGATTAAACTCTTCATGTGCCTATATTTACTTATTCTAGATCTATCCTTGCAGAATATATGAATGATGGAGCATAGTGGTGATTTCTTATTGATGTCATTATTTAATTGGTTTCAGATGTTCTGTTAATCAATGTGACATCTCACATATTATCATAATTGAAATAGTTAATTTTCTATTATTATGTAAAGTTCCTGTACACATTGTCTTGAATAGATACAAATCTTCATTCAGAGGGGGCTTCTGATTTATCTGTTTAACCTTTTATGCATCAACACCATGGCATTGTATATTCTTTCTTGACTGGAGGTCTGTATAGGGCAAAGATAAATTCAAAGTTGTTTCTGTTTTAATTTTTTTAATTATTGTATATTTGTATTTACTTCTAAAAGCACAGCTGGATTTTTTGTACACAATTTATAACACTAGAAGTCATACTCTCTATTCAGCCATGATTTGGCTCATGTCACTTGCAAGTGTGCTGAGAAGATTAAAACTCATCTAAAAAATACTTGATGAAAAACCAATCTGTTTATAATTTGTCTTTTGATAACATAATGATTGGTTAAAAACCAAACTATTGATCATTTCATAATGGTTACTGAAAGTTCTTGGTGTACTTTAGCCATCTAAACTCGAAGACTTGCAGAAATATGAGTATAGAGTGTTAGGTTCTCCATTTAATTCCTTAAATCTGATCACTAGAATTATTTGATTGATTTTTATATGAGGAACTGAAAGTTAAGAGTTGAGTTATACATCAATTAAGGTAGTAAGATAAAATTTTGCAGGATCAAACTTTTAACTGTCATCCACTGGGATTGAATACTTTTCTTAAATTGTTGCATCTATTATCGTTAACAAGAATGATTGAGTTTCCAATTTTTTTACCTTTTGATGCACGGCATGTAATGGTTTGTGGCATAAAGATTTCAAGCAATGGAATAGAGCAGATTCATTGGTTATCCCAATTAAAAAATACCTTAATACCATCGCACGGTCACTGTGTGTAGATAACTTTTTGCCCCATCTCAATCTTAATACGTAGTTATAAATTATTCTCATAATTTTGAACTTACTAAAATTGTCTGCTCTTATTTGAAGGTTCAAGCTAGGAAAGGATGCCCCTCATGGCTATGAGGAGAATTACTGTGACAATCTGCCTAGTGAGTGGAGAACCTTGATTGATTTGTGGCTTGTGAAAACTTGAAAAATATGCATTTAATTGACTTTGACAACATGCCTTGCATCATGCAGGTTCCAAAGAGCCAGAGATTGGCCAGGATTTATCAAATCTAGTCAATTCTGCACGTCGCAAGTTACTCGATCAGTCCAGTAACCTCGCAGCTGCACCTTTTACTGGTGGGCCTACTATACAGATCAGTTCTCTTCCAATTAGCGTGAGTAGTGGAGCTTTCCCAGCTGTGCCAGATCCCAATAAGAAACAAAATCAGTCACCTGCACCACTGCCTTCACCTTCTGATTCTCCACATGATAAAACAAGTCAACAAAGTTCAGCTAATGGTGCTTCTGGAAAATTGTGGAAGTATATTTTTATTATCTTGGGTGTGGCTGTCTTGGTCATTGTTGTTGTCATCATGCTTTGCATTTGGCGAAAACGAGCAGTAAAAGTAATAAAGCCTTGGAAGACAGGAATAAGTGGACAGTTGCAGAAAGCATTTGTAACAGGTAGTTTTCCAAAAAGTGAATAAAAGTTACAGCTTATACATGATTGAACTGGAAATTAGATTTAACAAAGTGGAACCTGCAATTGAAATATATGTCCTGTTTCTTGGGCTTATCACCTGTTGTGGCTTTATGTTCAAATATTTAAAATAAAGGTCTATGTGTTTGTAAACTCATTTTTTTGACTGAAATGTGTTTTTGCTACTTAGCATCTGACAGATTAGATCTTGGTTTCTCCATATTCTTCAAACCTGTTTAAGGGTGATCAGGGCATTTTAATTTATTTAGCATGACATGTAAACTATTAGAATTTAGAACAGCATGATGGGTGTTTCATCATATAATTTAAGATTCCTGACATAACTTGACTGAAATAAAATTTGATTTTAAAATTGAAATTGTTTGCTTACCAATTTTTAAATGCCTCAGTATTGACCTCCCTCATTTCTGTTCTTTAGCCTATATAGTAATGTGTGATTGATTATTCACAAAAGCTTTCCATAAGTCCATAACCTTTTGTAGAGGTATATGCAGACTCGCCTGTTCAATTTGTTCTAGCATCATCTTCCTAATTTGAATAGTAACAACTTACGAACAACTTTCATTATTTTACAGTCAGTCGAGTGAAAGAAAATTGATTCTAGCTTGTTATGCAATATACCATTAATATAAATCTTAATGTCTGAGCTCTCTTCTTTAAGTTATTAGCTCAATCAATGACTTTCATCTAATGTCATGAGTATGCTCGCTTGTAGTAGAAATTCCTGTTGACTGCTATCTGGGCTTAAATTTGTTGGTAGGCATGTGTAGGGACTTTGGTAGGAGGTCATAGGTTCAAGTCATGGTAAAGAATTCCAATGTGCCAAAAAGAAAAAAAATATTAATGTTCACATATTATGTTGGCACAACCTCTTGGAAAATATGAGGGTAAAGTTGGGTACAATCAACCCTCACCCCTACCCTTGCAAAGTCGAGAAGTTTTGTGTACCAGGTTTTGCCCTTTGTCCTTTATATTATGGTGAGACAGTTTTATGTCCTCGTATGAACAGGGGTCCCCAAGTTGAATCGATCAGAGCTGGAGACAGCCTGCGAAGATTTCAGCAATATCATTAATAGCTTTGATGAGTCCACCATATACAAAGGAACACTGTCCAGTGGAGTCGAGATTGCGGTTGATTCTACCATTGTTACTTCTTCCAAAAATTGGTCGAAGAACATGGAGATGGCCTATCGGAAAAAGGTTTTCTCCTTCTTAAGTCAGTGAAAAGGAAAAGATTGAATCAAGAGTCTCAATTCTCGAACTTACCTGTTGCTAATTTTGTTATATGTTTCAGATTGATACTTTATCTCGCGTTAACCATAAGAACTTTACTAATCTTATTGGGTACTGTGACGAAGAAGAACCATTCACTAGGATAATGGTATTTGAGTATGCTCCAAATGGAAGCCTATTCGAGCATCTGCATGGTAAATACTCAGTTGTTTAAGTTATTGCCTTGCACATAGCAAATCTAAGTCAATCAAAAGCTTAAGTTCTGTATATTTTGTTTTCTTTTCAGTTAAGGAACTTGAACATCTTGATTGGAGTGCAAGGATGAGGATTATAATGGGCACTGCTTATTGTCTTCAGTACATGCACCATGATCTGAATCCACCAGTAGCTCATTCCAACCTTAATTCAGCTTCTATATTATTAACAGATGACTTTGCCCCTAAGGTATACAAGTTTCTATTCTGTTCTGTTTGCTTTTATTAGATGTTAGCTATCAAGTAACATATCTCCATCCTATTGCTCTCTATCAGGTTTCAGAGATCACTTTTGGCAAGAATTTGTTATCACCAGCCAACTCACCTGGACATAAATCAAGGAAATCTGAGTTGCCACCCCACTCTGATCCTGAAACCGATGTCTATAACTTTGGAATATTGTTGCTTGAAATCCTTTCTGCCAAACTACCTTACTCTGAAGAACAAGGCCACCTTGTGAACTGGGTAAGTTTAAAATTTGCACCATTTCCTCCTCTTGCCCCCAAGTTACTTTGTTTTCTACTTTGAAAGTTTCCCCCTCCTTGTAATTTTAAGTGAATCTTCATTGTTCTATGCTTGTAACTAAATAAATCATCATCAACTTCCTAGGCTGCTGAGTACTTGAATGATAAACGAAGCATCAGCTATTTGATTGATCCGACACTAAAGTCCTTCAAAGACAATGAACTTGATGTCATCTGTGAGGTGATTAAAGATTGTCTTCAATCTGATCCAAGGTTAAGACCAACAATAAAAGACACAACTTCCAAATTGAGTGAAGTGCTTCGTATATCACCTGAGCAAGCTGTCCCAAGACTTTCTCCACTCTGGTGGGCTGAACTGGAGATCTTGTCAGTAGAGGCCACTTAAAAAGTTATATCTGACTCTCTTCTCTGTGTTGTAAGTCAAGTCTCTTCTAACCTGTATCAAGCTGGCAGAGTATAGCTTTCTGATAATGCTATGTGATATTTGCTTCTCAAATTCGTTTCTTCTTTAATTCAATTTGTTCTTTTGCAACTCCTTGTGATTAATACCGTAGCTATTCTTGTGCCAATGGAAGCTTGTTATGTGTCATTTTGCAAGTGGGGTGTTGTAAAAATTGAACTTTTGTTGATGAAGTTTGGGATGTAAAAAGTCTTAACATACTATTGCTATCATCTCGGTCCCAATGAACTATGCAATTTCTATATAGGTAGGTCTATTCAACTATTAATGAAACTAATAATTGTTTTGTTATTAAGATAGTCCACATATTCCGAAACACAGATTTGTAAGTATTTTCCAAAGGAAGGGGGAAAAAAATGAACAAACAAATCAATAACAACTAGAACTGATCTTTATGTGATTCAAAAGGTAAGTTATCAAACAACGGAATTAGACTAATTAAAAAAACACAATCAAAGAAAGAAAAACCCGTTCACTGACTGCATTAAACAGTAATCGCTAGTATTTCCTTGCTAATTTTATTAGTCACATTTTGCATTTGATACGTTTATTGAATCGGAATTAGCTATGCATTGATATGCTTGAATTGGTGTAATATTATTTATTTTTAACTCCTGATACTTCAAAAGGAGTTAGCTCAACGTACCCATAACATAGGTAAGCATGACCCTTTCCAGGATTCTAATTCTAACGCCGTCCCAGCTGAGAACAAAAATACAAAATCATGTTCAGTTTTCAAAATTAATTTTTTGATTTAAAAAAAAAAATCAAAAAAATATGTTTGATAATGTATGTTTTGTAAAAATAGCTCTAAAAGTTATAATTATTTTTTAATTTTTAAAATCAAATTTAAAGAACATATCTGAGTTTTTTTTTAACTTTTAATTTTCAAAAAAAAAAAAAAACACATATTTTATTAACTTATTAACTATTCTACAAAATAGTTTTTTTTTTTTTTTAAAAAAAAAAAAACACACACACAATCAAATAGACTCTTCTCCCCTTACAAGGTTTAAGAAACACTGCTCGCTTTCATTACCCTCACCCCATACAATTAATGTGAAGTTTATTATTACCTAAAGATATGTCAGTACATTATTTTAAAAGTTAGACTTCCTAAGTAATTTATTGCAACATCCTAAAGTTCTTTAATAATTTGATATTACAGGGTCGGATAATACTATAAACAATTTTTACACTTTAGCCATAATTTCATATAAGGCATTACCAGTAGATTTTACCAACTTTTATTAACTTAAAGAGAAACAGATTCCTCCAAACAACATAAAAAATATTCTTGCACATGTAGTTGTGTTATAGTTGGCTTTTTAATATCTGGATTAGAAATGAACCGAGTTAGGACTCTCTTAGAAATTGAGTCCGTTTTATTGGGTCATCTTAAGTTGATACATGAACTAGTTGAGCTTAATGAATATATATTAAACCTTGTATTAATTGAGCTTTCTAGGCTCAATGAGTTCTGCTCAAATTCATAAATCATAACTGAATAAATTTTTCTTTCTTTCATATATTTGATTAAATAATTTATTCAAACAAATAAAAAAATCATCATTATTATTATTATATCAAGGTGCTTACGAGATAGTAAGCTGAAAATGTGAAAATTCAAACTCAGCTCATTTAACAAACAAGTCCAAATCTCTATCTTATGCCAAATGGCTTCAAACATAGTACCCAAATTTATTAGACGGAACATGGTCACTCACAACTCACAAGATTAATCCAATAATCCTAAAAACATCATCTTATATTCTACTAGAAACTCATTATTTGGCAAGTATGCTGACGTGTCGCTTTCTTCTTCACTTTCAACTCTCTTTTTTTATAGTTACTTTCAGCGTTGTGCTCACACTCCAAAATATTTAAAATCTTTCCTTCTTTGGTAAAATCAGTAAATAGAAAAATAAAAATCGAATTTGTAATTTAAATCAATGGAGAAGATTTGTTAACAATTGTTGGTGACAGACAACTCATTTAATGTACCTCTACTTTCTACAATGGAATTTTCAAATTATTAATATCTCACTGTTTTTTGAAATCTTGATTTTCAATTTTGAATTTGAATTTGAATTTTAAAGGTTGGGAAAATATTTGAACAATTGTTGGTGGCAGACAGCTCATTTATTATCTCATTACTTCTTCTTTCTTGTAGACATTATCCCATTACTTTCTACATGGATAATTGTTAATCTTATTAACTAGTGTATTACCCGTGCCGATGCACGGGGAAACAAATTGATTTGTTTGTCTCGTAAAAGTTTACCTAAATTTAAAATAAATATTATGAATAATATTTTTTGTTAAAATTTAATAGCATGATGTAGGAACAAACAAAAAAAATATCTTTCTTCAGTCTCAAATTAAATAACGATGTTGAGCTGCACTGCAAAATATATTCACATATGCAGGTAACAAAACATGTATTACTAACATGACGATGAAAAAATAAAATATTTTAATTAATAAAGACTTAATTAAAATTCAAAATATCCAAGTGATTTGCAACTTAATATAATGTATTTGTAATAAAAAAAATTAAATGTTGTGCTTGACATCAAGGTAATAAGAAAGATGCGTAACGTATACTTGCAAAAGTTATAAAACCCATTTCGCGATTCACTCTTAACGCAACACATAAAAGTATATTGCTGCATTTTACCTTGTCATGTAGTCATTCAAAAATTGCAAAGTTTTACTCGTCTTCTTTCAGTATTTTTCAAAGAAGAACTTTCATTTAGAAAGATCAAATTTACAAAATAATAATACTTAAATATTTTTTTGTAAAGATTTGTGTCCTTAGTATTTGGAATTTTTCAAATTCGTATTTACAAAAATTAAAATCAGAATTAGGGATTTAATTATAAAAGAAAAAGGCAAAATTTTAATTTAATTATGAAAAAATGTTGGCAGGCCGTCCAGTTTGCAACCTCTAATTGTCAGCATTATATACCAGCATGTAATACATTTTTATATTTATCCACATAAAAAAATTCTTATAGTTGCATATAAATTTTTATATTTTATCTCAGAGATGGACATTCATTTATTACAATTAGATTTATAAAATAATAATAAATAATTATTATTTTGCGAGGATTTCTGTACTTAGTATTTTGAATTTTACAAATTTCAATTTACAAAAATTGAAATCAAATTTAGGAATTTAATTATAAAAGAAGAAGTATGAAATTTTATTTTAATTATAAAAATAAGTTGGTCGGTCGGCCCTCCGGGCCGAGCCTAGTTTGCCACCTCTAACTATCAACATGTAATAGGTTTTTATATTTATCCACACAAAAATGTTCTTATAGTTGCATTTAGGTTTTTATATTTTATTTTAGAGATGGACTTTCATTTATTACAACATATTTACAAAATAATAATAAATAATTATTTTTTGCAACGATTTGTGTCGTTCACAGTTGAAATTTTACAAAAATTAAAATCAGATTTAGGAATTTAATTATAAAAGAAGAATGATGAAATTCTAATTTAATTATAAAAACATGTAGGTGGGCCGGCCCTGCGGGCCGAGGCCCAGTTTGCCACATCTAACTATCAACATGTAATAGATTTGTATATTTATCCACAAAAAAGCTTCTTATAGTCGTATTTAGGTTTTTATATTTTATCTCAAATATGAACTTTCATTTATTACAATCACATTTTTAAAAAAAAAATAAACAATTGCAAGGATTTGTGTCGTTAGTATTTGGAATTTTACAAATTTGTATTTATAAAAATTAAAATCAGATTTATGAATTTAATTATAAAAAATGAAGAATGAAATTTTAATTTAATTATAAAAATATGTTGGTGGGTCGGCCCTCCGGGCCGAGGCCAGTTTGCCACATCTAACTATCAGCATGTAATAGATTTTTTTTATTTATCCACAAAAGGCTCTTATAGTTACGTGTAGGTTTTTATGTTTATGTTAAATATTTTAAAAAAAAAAAAAATTTGTGCGCATTTTTTTTCTCTTTTTGTATTACTTTTTTTAGTTAAAATTTTAATAAATATTCTTTTAAAGTATAAATTTTAGTTAAATTCTTTTCTCTTTTTTATTCTTTTTGTATTACTTTTTTCCACCCAATAGACGTAATAATTAATATTATTAATAAGTTTAAGATAATTTTCCATATAGAAAGTAGTGGTAAACATGGATAGAAGGATGTGCACATTCTCCAAATAATAGGTTTTGCAGTGATTAAATTTTATTATTTATTTTTTACAAAACGATAAATGTCATTTTTTATTTTTTATTAAAATTTAAAATTTAAATTCATTTATTTTCATTGTATAATTTTGGTAAATTAAATTGAACTGCATTTAATACAATCGAATATTTTATTATTTAAACAAAAACATAATTAAAAAGTATATATTTGTGTGTGTGTGTGTCTTAGAAACACGGTCATTAGAAACAACGTAATTAGAATACTCTCTTTAATCAAATTTCAATTTTTGATAATTTCAGTTTTTGCTTTATACTCTTTTCTTACCTATCAAGTTCAAAATTCAAATTTAAATATTTGAATTATATACATTAAATATTTCCCCCCAATAGATATAATAAATAATATTATTAATATGCTTAACAATTTTCTATGCAAAAAGTGATGAGAAACATTAAAATAGTCTGTAAAATAGTTAAAGACAAACATCTTTTTACGATGCAGGAGTTGAATGGTCAGTGGAAACTGAATGGTCATTCATTTTTTTATAGTTATTTTTTTTATTATTAATTTTACATTTTATTAATTTAAAGGTTGGGAAGATAATTGAACAATTGTTGGTGGCAGACAACTCATTTACTATCCCATTACTTCTTCTTTTTTGTATATAGTATCCCATTACTTTCTACATGGATAATTGTTAATCCTATTAATGCTGCATAAAAAAAA